GAAAATGGGAACTACAGCACACTGTAATGCATTATTTTGCTGGCAGGATGTGCTGTGGGCAAATGTTGTTTCGGGGGAGCTGGTTTTGTGCTGTGCCTGTACTCAGCACTTATTATTTTCTCTTTGGAAAGATGCTCATGCCAACATCAGGACATTGCAAAGGAGAGAAAGTACAGGGCTCCTGCCCCTGACTGTTGATTGAACCTTTGCTGTGTATGATTATATGGTACGATATTAGCAAGACATCCAGAGTTGGAAATATGTTTAAATTTGTCTCTGTTTGTAGTAATTTCCCATCAAAGACAGAAGGTTGTGGGATTGAACCCCACACCAAGAATTGAGCTCATAATCTAGGCTGACAACCCAGCTGAGTGCTGCATTAAGGTTGCAAGATTGCAAGTGAAGTACAGATGAAGAAAGCATTTCAGCCTATTGCAAAATAAATCTCTTTCCATCAACCAAGTGAGGGTTCAAACCTACACATGTTGGATGTCAAATGACAACTAGTGCATATTCTCCAGGGAGGATGTAAGCAGAGTTCCCCTTGGAGCTGAGCTGGCCCATAGAAATGTCCCACAAACACCGATGAAGTGAATGACCAATTTTATTTGGGGGAATTGTTGGTTCGAACACTTAGGATACTGGGAGAAATTTCATTGTGCCATGAGATAATAATAATCATAATTCTTGCACATTTGATATAGTGCTTTTCAAGTCTTCTAGACGTCTCAAAGCGCTTCACAGAATATATTGTAAAGTGAATTGACTGTATATGTGTGGGTGAAACGTGGCAGCCAATTGCGCACAGCAGTGTCCCACAAACAGTCGTGGATTGAGTGATAAAATTTTTTTTTTAAAGGTTTATTACCACAGGAAAAGCGATTCGTCAATTGACTAACAACTGGATTCCTACTTACTGCTAGGTAAACAGAGGCGTGTGGAGTAAGGAAACTTGCCCGAGATTTTGCCCTGCCGGGAATTGAACCAAGGTCTCTCGCTTGCGAATTGAGTGGTCTAACCACTGAGCTCCAAATCATTAATCATTAATATACACTCTAATAGGCAATCATGAACTCAGTAACACCTCCAAGGTCTTCAGCACTACATTGGATTGTCATCTTAGGCTATATGGGTTCAAAGTTTCCACGTCTTCGACCCACAACCTTCTGACTAAACATTACATGGTTTACGCCGAGTGAATAATACGTTAGCGTAAAAATACTATGGAGGAGGGAAGGGAACAAAGCTGATATTAAGCAGATATTTAAATGGGTAAAGGTGATTGATAAAGTAGGGAAAGTCTTTGTAAAACCAGGAAGTAATTGTAAAATATTAGAGTCTTAAGAAGTAGGTTCGGAACATTGAATCCCAAACCAGTTGCCAACAAGTGCAGTTGCAGTGAGTTATTGATTTGGTTATAAAGCAGATGATCATAAATGGAAAACAATTAGTGCAGTTCCGCAGGGGTCTGTTCAAGGTTCCTGTAATTCACAATACAATCAAACCTGTCTCCAACAGCCACTCAGTACTGGGCCAAAGTGGCCTTTATATCCAGGGATATTGGACTCCTCAATCTGAGTTAGGTCAATTTTCAGTGAGTAATCCAGTGAATATAGGTGTCAAGATGAATAAGTTGGTAGTATTCTCGCCTCTGAGTCAGAAGGTTGTGGGTACATTGAGACTTCGAACTCATATAATTTAGGCTGACACTCCAGTGCAATGCTGGAGGTGTGTTGCATTGTTGGAGGTGCTGCTCTTTGGCTGAGATGTTAAACCGAGGTCCCATCTCATTCAGGAGGATGTTAAAAAATTCCTATTTGAAAAAAGTTGGAGATAGTCTTGGCCAACATTCCTCTCTTTAAGTCCTGTAGCTCAGTGGTTAGAGCACTCGCTTTGCAAGCGAGAGACCTGAGTTCAATTCCAGACAGGGCGAAACCTTGGGCAAGTTTCCTTACTCCACACGCCTAACAATAATCCCTTCAAAAAACAAAACAATAATAAATTGGTCATTTTCAATCTACGACTGTTTGTGGGACATTGCTGTGCGCAATTGGCTGCCGCGTTCGCCCACAAATATACAGTCAATTCACTTTACAGTGTGTTCTGTGAAGCGCTTTGGGACGTCCTCCCGACGTGAAAAGCGCTATATCAAATGCAAGGATTATTATTATTATTATTATTATTATTAAAGTAAGTCCTGTTAAATGCTTTGCAACATGCTTACAGCATGGAATACAAGGATTCTTTTTATTATTATACCAAATGCAAGGATTCTTTTTATTATGACTATTATTGATTTTAATTCTTCTAGAAAGGCAATGTTCCCTGCTTGTAAGTAACAAGGAGGCCCTCATTTTTCATCGCTTTAGAGCATTTGACTGGTGACTTATCAGTTGAATATATTGCAGTCTAATATGTGGCGATTCATAATATTAGCTGCTGGTAATCAAAACGGTATCACACTGACCCACGGAAACTATTTCTGGAAAGCTATTCCTTTGGTCAGCATAAGGTACTCATGCTTGTTGGAAACGGTCAGTTAACACAATACACTTCTGGTTACTAGAAGGAGTCGGTCAATGTGTTGCATTGTTATCAACTATTATTATCAACTGTGAATCTCCAAAAAATTAGGCTCAATTAACCTTTAGCCCAGAAACGTTCCGTCTTTTTTCCTAATTTTACAATTTTTATTTGTGCCCCCGGAATTCAGATCCTTCTCTGTTGTGAACAGTTTATCTATATTTAGCTTGTCAAAGTTGAGATGATCAAATGCTGAGAACAATGGAAATGTCAAGCCAAGGGAGGCATAGGTAACTAATGAATATTTTGCTTGTTTGAGGACTGGGAGAAATTCTGCAGCATCTTTCCTCAGGAGATTAAATGAATTAAATGGACCCCTGAGGATCATTATAAATTTTATGTCTGACTTAAAAAGTACCCTGGAATATGTTTCCTGCGTTTTGTTCGGCTACTTATCTTAATTAAATGATTGTGGAATGATGGACGTCATTGTCCTATTGAAATATTGAACGGATTGCTAAATTGACCCCATTCTATCCCTGTAACTGTTTGAGTGAATTGTTTCAGAGTGACGTGTTCCTTGGCAGGATATTAATTTTTCTCTAGGCAGCAGTTGATTTTGTTTTATCACTTCAAAAATCATTGGAAATTTCATTGTGTAAGAAATGATAGACAGGGGACCTCAACTATTGAGTCAATGAAAATTGTGAGCAGCAAAATGCTGTTGAGTTATTAAAGCATACTTTTCACCGTATAATGATTATTTGTATGTCATATTAGAATAAAAAGTCTGGTGCATCTTTATGGGAAAATAATTAGATTACTTCACTATCATATTTTAGATCGGAACTAGTAGATGTTTTGGTAAGCGGATGGACAAGAGAAACATGGTAATGCTATAGTTGTTGCTTTTATACATTAGCAAGTAAGAGCACAATAATAGTTTTAAGCTGTCTGAGCCATTATTAGCAATAATCCTTACATTTGATATAATGCATTTCACATTGGGAGGGCGTCTCAAGGTGCTTCACCTGTAAAGAATAGTGACTGTACTTTGTTAGTCAAATGCAGCTGCCAGTTTGTGCACAGCAATGTCCCACAAACTCCATAAAGTGAATGACCAGTTTTATGGGGGTCTATTGGCAAGGACACTGGGAGAAACTCCCTTTTCTTTTTGAATAGTGCCAATGGGATCTATGATGCCAATCTGAATAGGCAGATGGGTTCTCAGTTTAACGTCTAATCCAAAGGTTGGCTTCTAATAATAATAATCCTTGCATTTGATATAGCGCTTTTCACGTCGGGAGGACGTCCCAAAGCGCTTCACAGAACACACTGTAAAGTGAATTGACTGTATATTTGTGGGCGAACGCGGCAGCCAATTGCGCACAGCAATGTCCCACAAACAGTCGTGGATTGAAAATGACCAATTTATTATTGTTTTTGGTTTTGGAGGGATTATTATTAGGCGTGTGGAGTAAGGAAACTTGCCCAAGGTTTCGCCCTGCCTGGAATTGAACTCAGGTCTCTAGCTTGCAAAGCGAGTGCTCAACCACTGAGCTACAGGACTCCACCCACTGAGCTACAGGACTCTCTGACAATGCAGCACTCCCTCAACACTGCATTGGAATGTCAGCCTTCTTCGTTTTATCTTGTGTTCCCTTTACACTGAGTCGAGAAAATAAACAAGGATAAATATTTTCAGATATGCAAGGGTGTCCGAACAAGAGGGCACAAGTTGAAAATTGTGAAGGGTAATTTTAGGACAGATTCCAGGAAATATTTCTTTCCCCAGAAGGTGGTCAACACAGGAATGAGTTACCGAAATAAAATGGTAGAGACCACAAATTCATTTAAAAAAAGGCTCACTCACCTTATCCTTTTCTAGTGCTGCTTCCACAAGAAAACCGAATGGGCCGAATTAATGCTGAGACGAGAAAGACATTCTATGAGAATAACCTGTGGGACTAAATTTGTATAAATTTTATAGAAGTGCAAACTTGTGATTTTATAAAATTGTACTCAAAGCTGAGTTTTGCATCACAACTGCTGTGCATCACTGAATAGTTAAAAAGATGCTGTTTTTGCTACATTGCAGCAGTGAGTCATACACGAGCGTTCAGTGCTGAGTGATATAGAAATATATATTTAACGTAGTGATCAGAAGTCTTCTCTGCCGAGCTCTGACATATTTGCATTTCGACCCATGATCCCTGGAGAGTTAGTTTATCAGCAATTCGGCCAGTTTTATATTCAAAGAGTCTTAAAAAGAATTAGTTTGCCAGTTTCACGAGTGGGAAAAATTCCTAAGCTATTCTGTCTTTGGTGGAAAAAATCTTTGATTCAGAATCTAAATCAGAAGGTCACTTCAAGGAAGTTTTTGCCTGATATTTTGACAAAAAAATTCGCTTTTTTTTGTTGTTGTAAAGTAGTTTTCTGTTTGAGTAAAATTTTTCTTTTGAAACATTTATTTACAGCAAAGATCTTAGTGGACTTTAAATTGTGACTATCAAACCTTGGAAATAAGCAGACGGCTCGAGAAAAAGCAACCGCAGAATCACTGAGAATAACAGCATGAACAAAAGTAACTGCAATGTAGCTGGCAACAGTGAGAGCGTAAGTGGGACATACATGTTTTCTAGTTCTGTACAGTCAGAATCTTTTGAATTGTGTAAATTGGTTTCAGTGAAACATTGACCGAAGAAACTGTTTCTGCATGTACAGTATAAATGATTCAGTGAAACAATCATGCAAGATTATTTTAATGTCTGAAAAATGAATGTTCCGCCCCTAACTTCTGAATCTTTTTGACTGTGCCTGTGGTCATCTCTGCCTCCCCTTTCTTGTTCTTTGTTCAGCGTCCAATCCAGCAAATGTGAGATGTTCTGAGAAGTCATCTACATAAAGGACATGATATAAATGCTATTTGTTGTTGTTATTGTTAATGATGTTTTGACAATACAGATTGGGTGTTCATGAATATCGACTTAATCACAAGTGCATAATTAATAACCCTGTTTATGATTAAAGCAGCTGCTTTTGTTTGGTGATTAGAATGATCTTTTTGTGATCATTTTGCCCATAAAGTACACAGTCAAAATACGCTTTACAGTATATCCTGTAAAGCCCTTTGAGATGTCTCGACAACGTGATAAAGTGCTATACCAAATCCAAGGATTATTATTATTATAATTATTTATTATTGGGTTTTGAATTTGCAAGAGCTGTAGGACGAAAACTTGTGGTGTTTTGTATCCACTCCTTGTATTAACTTGCACAAGGAATGGATATTCAGAAATGTCGCTAATGTGTTCCTATTGAAGGAGAACCCTGTTATTACACTCTTCAATATAGCACTGCCTCACATATACCATGGGTCTACTGTGGACTTATGCTACCTGGAAGTGCAGTACATGCATCTTCTGGCACTGACTAGACATTTTTCTGATGCTAACATCACTCTCAGCTGGGGAGCGAGGCACAGGGAGTGCTGCCTTTGTGAAGACAGTGAAATCAGCGGTGCTTCATGGGCGTTTCTTGCAGCGCTTGGGTAATGACATCAGCAGTGACCTGAAAGCTGGTTATTTTTTCACCCTGGTTTATAATGCAGACTGTGAGATACTGGACTCAGTATAGTGAGGGTTTCCTGTATTTAATTCCTTAATCGGCATGCTTCATTGGCAGTTATTTGCACTGAGTATCTGATTCCTGCAGTCTTTTCTTTTGGTCACTGGCAACTGAGAGGAATGGCTGTGGAGATCAGACCCTAGGAGCAGGTAAGTGTTGTTCAAGTTAAAACTGCAATTGGAAATTGGATAGTGAAGGGTATCTACGAAGGCCTCTTACCCCTTATTACAAACAGCGATATGAGACTACTACTATGAGCTGAAACGAGGTGCCAGAGATGCAATTCACCTCACCACTCTATCATGTTACGGAAGGTTTCACACCGAACATGGCAATGGATCATTATCTGCCATGAAAATGATGGTGCTCACACTGATCCTCTGTCCATCTAAGTACAGTTAAACACTTGTAATGAATACAGTTAAGTGTTTCTAAATGCAATATCATCATTCTTCCACAAGTTTCAGTTGTTGGTCAGTGCTTTGTAGAAAAAAACACCTGGGGCAACAGGACTTTGTGGACACTCTGTAGATAGTGACAATAAAATCCTACATAAAAAGGGCAATAAGAATTTTTAAAATCTTTAAAATGGTGGAAAGATTAGTCCTTGCATATATGTAAATACTTTGTCTCCCACTCTGTAAAAGAAAGAAACAAACAAATTAAATAAATAAAAAGCTATTCAGGGTGTTAAGTCTCATAGCCCCTTCAATCCATTTCTACTCCAAATTGATGTCTAATTCTTGTTTGAATTTGTTGACAGTATATTGGCGAACTGATAATAAATGTAACTGGTACTTTATCACAGCACTCGCTGTGAGAAGGTTTAGACCTTGAACCATTTTGTATATAGTTTATTTGTTCACTTATAAAAGACACTGAATTTTTAGCAGTGATTTTTGTGATCTATGTTGTGGAGAATAATATGACCTACAGTTCCCAAACAACATGCTTATTCAGTAATTAGACTGCAGCTTTTATTGGAGGTTGTTTTCGACTTCTCACTTTGTGTTCAAATCCCTAATGCTTCATTGTCTACTGCAGTCGTGATCCTCACAGCGTTCTGAGCTCAGCCTCAAAATCGATACAGTTGTGCTGATAGTAGTTTATTTCACCCATGTGGAGAGAAGAGCAGCAGTTCATTTCCAATTTCGGCTTGGACTATTGTGCCGAGTGGATAGCATATGTGCGTCTGAAATTTGATGGGAGAGGCAAGTCAAAGATGTGATGATTTAATGAACATTCGATTGTTGCAATATCCTTCAAATTTCAAGTGGAGGGAAAGTGCATCAGAGTCACTGCTTCCCATTCCGTCACCAGAGAAATTGGCAAAGGAAAAGTCCCTTTCAATTAAATAAAAGACATTTTGACCTAGATTTCACAGGGAGGTTTAGAACAGCTCAATAATGAGTTAATGCAAAGAGAGGAGATGGAATAAATAATGCCTCGGTGATGCAAAATCCTTTCAATGATCTCCAGAATGAAATGTAACAGAAATGAAAGGAAGTCAGCCATGCCAATCAACATTTCCGTCAACTCACCACACAAAATATTGTTGAATAATTTGCATGACAATATCAGAATGTTTTGGTTTGCTTTCATAACTGATATGGGTGTCAGACTAGCTCAGTTGATAGTTGGTGGACATTGCAATGTTGGAGATGCTGTCCTTCAGATCTGCCAGTTCAGGTGGATACCAATGGTCCAAAATTGGTACTCAGTTCATGGCTGTTTGTGGGATATTGCTGTGCACAGATTGGCTGCTGCATTCATCATCATCATCCTCAACAACAACAACTTGCATATATATATAGCGCCCCTCATGCAGGATAGCATCCCAAAGCCATTCATCTTCATGATACACAAACATTACATTTGACACTCTATCCTGTGAAGCGCTTTGAGGCCCTCCCAATGTGTAAGTAGCTCTATCAAATAATTATTATTTAACTTACAATTGTATACAGTCTGAGACAAATATAAGATAGAGACTAGGATATCTAAAACACAATTTTGGCGGAACTACTTCACACAGAGGGTAGTGAGATTGCGCAACTCTCTGCTCGAAGCGGTGGTTGAAGAGATACCATAGATTCATTTAAGATGAAGATGGACTTTCACATCAGGGAGAAGGGAATAGAAACGTATGGAAGGGAGTAAGGAGAGGGTGGAGTTAAACACTGGTACAGATTGCTTGGGCCAAATGACCTATTTCTGTGATATACTTCTTGATGATTATTATTTATATTTTTTCATCTCCATAGAAAATTAAAGAAGGTTGATCCTTTTGATTCAGAGCCACTTTTGAATATTAAGTGGCAAAACAAAATTCTACAGCCAGACATGCCTGGAATCAGAGTGAATGTAGATCCTATATTAATGTTGAGATTGTTCGAGGAACACTGAATTAGCCAGGCAGAAGTTGATAAGTAGGGAAGAATTATTCGTGTCCTGTGGTGAGTTAATCAGCCTATAGCCTCAAACCTCTTGACAGCTGCACTCACATTTTTCAATGAATTTCCAGCAGTTATGTATAATTCACTTCTCAACGTCATTTATATCGGTGCATAAATGTAAAGCCACAAAATGAATTGGATGAACTTTTGATTTACACAAAAATTGTGCAGGTCCCAGATCTTTTTGAATCAGCTTGTCCAAGTGTTGAGTTTTATAATATAAGAATCCCTGCATTTGAAATAATGTCTTGTTAAGTTGTCAAAATATCTCAAAGCACTTCACAAGATTCACTGTAAAGTGTAGATATAGTGACTGTGGGCAAGTGCAGCAGTTAACCGGTGCAGAGTGTGTATAATTAATGCTGTATTAATTTATTTATAATTTTAAGAACCGTTTTATATCAGTAGGATGTCTCAAAACACCTTGCAGAATTTACTCTAAGGTGTAATGACTGTATTTGTAGATGAACGTGGCTGTCAGTTTGCACACAGCAGTGTCCCACAAATGGTCATGAAGTGAATGTACAATGCTATCCAGGAGATTGTTGGCCATGACACCGGGAGAAACTTCTTTCTCTTTTCGAATAGTGCAATGGGATCTTTAATGTCCATCTGAACACTCAATTTAAGTCTCATCTGAAGGTCGGCTCCACCATCTCCCCCAGCACTATCAGGCTTGTCCCAAGGTCACCTCTAGTGGCCAAGAGGGCAGCCTGTTGCTAGGCTTCCTCCACTTTTCACTGACTACTGGGAGATGCATGACACCAGAGGCCAAAATTGACTATCCCTCTCCCATTGTGTGATGGGAGTATATACAGACCAAAGGGTGCTGACAGAGTCCAAGGGTGATCTCTACAGTAACACTGTTGATATCAGCAGCTCCCATCCTAGAGTGTTTTTAAGCAATGCCATTTGTTCAAAACCAAAACCAAAATCAACACCAGCCTTTGTTTTTACAACTACAATATTACCTGCTTTGACTTAAGCAGCATAGAGACACTGAATACGGCTCAGTGTTATTCAAATCATTCTATCTCTCGTTTTGCTGTGTCTCATTATCATTCACTGTGTGCATCCAAATACAATGTAGCATCTGGAAGATCCTTCCTGCTTCCATCAGGGAGCAAATATATTCAGGAGTAGGAGCTGGGGTTTAATTTTGAATTTTTCATGCATGACTGGATGCACGTTTCACAGAGTGACCATTTGGCTTGTTCTTCTCTTTCACTGCTTGAAATGTCCGCATAGAGTTGTTCTGTTGGTAGCTATGATGTGATTCAGTTGGCAGGCCAGGTGAGGTCTGTGCGTTCTCAACAGAAGGGAGTTTCTCCCGGTATCCTGGCCAACAATTCCCCAATAAAATTAGTTACTCGCTCCATGGCTCTTTGTGGCACATTGCCGTGCGCAAATTAGCTGCCGCATTCGCCCACAAAACACACAATCACTCCACTTTACAATGTATCCTGTGAAGCACTTTCTGACGTGAAAGGGGTTACACCAAATGCAAGTATTATTATTATAATATTCTCTCCT